CCTCAGCTGGGGCAACAACACTACCAGCCTGATCAAGAAAGCTCATTAGAGACTCTACTTCCTCAGGCAGCTGAGGCGAGATGGACTGGGAAGCTCAGTCCTCTCCTCGTTCTACAGGTGTGCAGCAAGGAGCATCCTATGCTCCAGCATCAACATCTGGCATGGAGGGAAATCTGACCTGAAGATTTTAAAGTATAAGGCTATTTTCTTCAATGCATTTATGAAAATATCGTCCATTAAATTGAGCTTAATGGATGTGATTATATGATTTTACACATAATTAAGCTCAGTCCTGTGGTCATCCATAAACTAACTTAAAAAAAAGTTAAAAGAAAGAAAGCAAAAAAAAACCAAACAAAAAAAAAAAAACTCCCCAATTACAACTAGTATTAAAAAATAAAGATGAAATGTGTTTTTCAGTAAAGATGAAGATCTGCTGCTCATTTTACCACTCTCTTGTGTTTATTCTGTATTTAACATCATGCTACTCTGTGGGGCCTTGCAGTCAGACAGATTTCATCCAGGCACACAACTTTTGACTGTTCAGCTCTGTCCTTTAGGTCTGCAGAATTACTGAAAACAAACAAAAAAAAGAACAGATTTAAAATGATAAAACCTGGTGCCCCCACCAAATAAATAAATAAACACAACAACCCTCATAACAGTTCCAAAATTAAGTAAAAATCTAATTAATAAATAAAAAGTAATCTTACAAGAGCTTATTTGCAAAACATTTTCAATTAATTCAAAAAGTTTTACACTGGCTAGTAACTTTAAAGTTTAATTTTTGAAAATGCTATGGGTGCGTATGTTTAGTGTAAATTATTTGATAAAAATAAGATGTTAACAATGTATTATCACAATGTACATACACACATGCATGCATACACACACATACGTCTCTTGCTGAATTCTGCTAAATTCAGTTTAAAGGAGACTGACAGCTGGCAAGTTCCCTCTCTTTTTTCCTATGACTCAATTATCTTTGACATTGCAGTCAAAACATGAATTACACATTATCACACACAGGCATAAACTCCCATACACACCCTCTCTGTCACTCTGCTCTCAACACCACGACTCAGTTACTTGAAATATAACACTTTGAACAGCTGGAGGGCACTACAGTATAGCTCAATAACACAAAATCAGAGCAGCTACAGGAGGGGCAGTCTCTGTGATTACCTGGCAGAGAAAATGCAATCACCAGGCCAATGGAAACGCTTGTCATTCATGCCACACCATGAACCAGTGGCCACAGAAGGACACAGCAAAGTACAATTCTACAAGGCACCCATGTTTTCTATTGATCATAAAAATGTAAACTCTGCACTAAAAGGCAGTTCCAACCACGTTGATATTTCAGTCAGTCAGAATCCTTTGACTGATCTTAAACTCAAGGTAAAAGTGTCTGGCTTTCGATATATATATTTTTTAATCAATTATGTTATTAGTTAAAACATAGCTGAGCCATGACAGTACCAGAAGCATTACCTCTGATTTGCAAGTCCCTGAATGTCAAACCAAAAGTGATAGATGTCGATGTCCATGGCTACAATTTAGTTGTCACCTTGGAGACAGAGCATTGCTTTGAACCAGAAAGGACAAATATTTAACAGGAACTTATTTTAAACACAACACAGAATAAACACCAAAGGCATCCAGAAGTGAAAGGGCAGCTTAACATTGAACTTCTATAATGCTGTTTAAGAAAGTACAAATTTACAGCTAACAAATGTTCTTATTGCTTTAATGCAGAGCAGTCAATGCAGTTTGTTGAGATATTTTATTTGCAACATTAAAGAAATAACTCAGATCTTGTCAATGAGGTTCTGTGGAAATGTCATTAACAAATAATATCTTACCTGTTGTAGATATATAGCTCTATAAACAACCTTAGTTTGGCAAAGTAAAAAGTTTATATTCAACCAAACTGTTGAGCTAATAACTAGCCCAAGTGACAAAAACCAAAGTAGGTTACTGAGCTTAAACAACTCCATGCGTCAGTACTTCCAAACAGTGAATGCCAATGTTGTTTTATAAAGTTTTACCTCACCAGCAGTTTCACATTACAAAGTCATTCTGACAGAAAAGTTATAATCTTCATGGAAGGGCCTGAAGCTGCTTTAAAGATGCTACAGCTAGCTGCTATTTCAATTTTTTGCTCTTGCAAATAACTGCAGGAATCCTTGCAGCCTTTTCATGCAAAATTGTTGGAGATGTAATGGTTAATAAAATAGTTTTTGCAGAAAAATATATGCTTTTTCAAAGATTAGTTATTTTAAGATGGCAGCAATTCACTTTGGTCTTGGTCTCAACCTGACTAGCCATGAGCTCATCATTTCAGTCGAAATGAAACAGTTTTTTTCAAACTGTGGTCATTTAAGTGCCATCTAAAACAGGCAAGCTATTAATTGTTTATAATCTTTCAAAAGACCTTCGCTTCAGTATGTCTGAATCATTCACCAATGATGTGAAACTGACCTGACTTGACACTGTTGGCATGAACCACCAGACCTATATGTTGTGTTTGCTAGAAATAAGTAAAAATTGCTAGCTGTCAAAATGAGAAAGTCTGCTATGGTGATGATACTGACTAAAAGCTACATTTTCCTAGTTATCCTTTTAAATAAACATAGTAATATACTTATAATTATGTCTGTCATTCTAATTAGTCTGGCTTTACCTTCGTGTGTTCACATATGTGTACACTATGGATCATATTTTACTAAAATGCAGAAGGTGGAGATAGAAATGTACAAAAAAGACAAACCAGCAGCAATAATCATTAATATACAGAGTAATTACATGGGAACAGAACATAGTGTTCTAATTGGGTTGGTTGTAATGAGAGGTTGATGGTTTTCCGTAACAATGAGCGAGTTACCATCATGCCTCACTGTGCATACCGTACTGTATATTAATGACAAACATAAGATTTAAAAAAGATTAATATCTTCCTTCTAAGGCTCCTATTACAGCTTCAATAAACTTAGAGATAAATGTATGTAAAATCTGTAGTCGTTCGTTTTTTATAATCTTTGTCAAACAAGAGGCTGCTTTTGTGCCTGGAGCTAAGGTCAGAAAGAATATTATAGCTTTACATGAAGAGTGAAGGCAGTGGGCAAGAAACTGGAACTATTCAAAGTTCAAATCTTCCATAGCTGCTAATTATCATATCTCTGTGCTTTGACCTCTGACATGAATGGGCCAACTACCTCCCCTACTTTCAATCTGTACGCTTTTGGTCTGCCATGCAAAAGAGGATTTTGCAAAACTGAATTCTGTCTAAGTTAAAGAAAGATAAAGTCCGGTACTAAAAGGCAAAGTAAATACTGTACTGTAACTGCTCTGCTACCTTTATTTGGATGTTTTGCACAATTTTCATCTCATACCCTTTAACACACTACAGAAGAAAAGCAAACTATAGTCCAACTGCTCTGTTCAACCAGTTACCAAGACTCCAAGGCAGCATGTGGAAAATAAAGCATTATGTAATTATTAGTTGTATATGACTGATTTCCAGACCAAGTCAGAGAGAAAACTAACCACCTCAGCAACTACCATATACCAGCACCTATATGGTACATGGTGCAGGAAGAACAGCCTTAATATCAATGTGAAGAAGACGAAGGAGATGGTCGTGGACTTCAGAAAGAACAAACACACCCATGAAATGAATATCAGTTTGTTTTTGCATAATTTCTTGTTATCCATGTTGTTGTTGGCAATACAGGATTATAACAGCTGAAATACTAATACTTTCTTACTGGAATTGCCCAAGCAGCACTGCACGTGGTGCAGACAGCTTCTGGTGCCATTATTTACATTTGTAAATAACAGTATAGTTTAATGTAAGAAAAAAAAACAACAATGTCCATTTCAAAATTTATGCCAGCATGAACTGATCTGACATTTTTAAATGAGTTTTAGTACAGCAGATTTCCACTTTGGTCTTATTCCCTCCTGCGCTAGTCATTGCATTATCATCTTGGTTAAGACACTTTTGAGTTGTGCAAACTGAGGTTACTGAAAGTATCACAGTCGTGAAGGGACTGGACTCAAGCAGGTGGACATGAAGAGCTTGAGTGAAATAAAAGTGATTTATTAAGAAAACAATAAGA